CAGAGAGGAAAAATTCCACACTACAAACCATGATTAGGTGCACATTAGAGGATGCTGGTTTAGGCAAACAATTTTGGTCAGAGGCATTACATTATTCGAATTACACTCAAAATAGAACCTGGTCCAGTATTGTGAATAAGACACCATATGAGGTGATGTACAATAGAAAACCCAAATTATCACACATGCACATATTTGGAGTCACTGCAGACGTACACATACCTAAACAATTGAGGAGAAAGGGAGAAAACGTATCCAGGAGATTAAGATTCATGGGATACGAAACTGGAACCAAAGGGTACAGATTTATTGATAGTAATAACAAATTTATAGTATCCAGAACAGCTGTGTTCCATGAACAGGCCAATTGGTCAAAATTGCACCTTAATGAAATATTTCCTAATAAATGTAAAGATACGATATCTTGCGAGGAAGGAACAACAGAAAATCAAAATATTAACAAAAGTAAGAACAAAACCAAAACTTGGACTAATAGTCAGCATAAAATAAAGACAGACACATTAACAAAAAAGGAAGCTAGATATTTGCATGATAACCATAGCAAGCCTGAAAGAACTATTAGAAACAATAGAAACCAAATACCAAATAAATACAAAGATTACATAATGCATATGAATGGAGAACAAATAACACCTAATACATATGAAGAAGTATTGAAACTTCCACATGAAGAAAGAGAAAAATGGGAACTAGCTATGGAAAAAGAGATGGAAAGTTTACAAGGATTAAATGTATTCACACCTGCGATCGCACCTAAGGATAAAACAATCATAGGTACCAGGTGGATTTATAAAATTAAGAACTTAGAAGGAGGCAATACCTTATACAAGGCTAGACTAGTTGCACAAGGCTATGCACAAAAATATCCAGAAGACTATACTGATACATATTCACCCACAGTGAGAACAGAGAGTGTCAAAACAGCCCTTGTAGTAGCATCTGCACTCAATCTGGACGTATTCCAATATGACATACAGACCGCATACTTACATGCAAAATTAGATAAGGAAATATATGTAAGAGCACCACACAGTCAATACACTAATAAGAACGAAATTTGGTTATTAAATAAGAGTCTGTACGGATTGAAGCAATCCGGCAAAAGATGGTACGATTGCTTGGTAAAAGTACTTAAGACCATGGATTTCAACGCCACCACTGCTGATAACTGTTTCTTTGTAAAAAAGAGTAATGATCATATTGAATTTGTATTAATTTACGTGGACGATATTTTATACATTGGAAAGCATAAAGAGAGCAGGGAAATCTTTGTAAATAAGTTAAATGAACACTTCTCACTGAAATCTCTGGGTAAAGTGAATAAATACCTTGGTGTGCAAATTAACAAAACTAAAAGGGGATTCAAACTTACACAGAAAGATAAAATCATCGAACTCCTAAACAAATGTAACTTAAATAATGCTAAAACCTGTGACACCCCTATGCAAACTGATTTCCTTAGAAACACTGATGAATCTTCCCCTGAGTTTAAAGACAACACATTTTACAGATCAGTTATAGGTTCACTCCTTTATATATCTAATTGGACTAGGCCAGATATTGCATTACCTCTCAATCTATTGTCAAGATATGTTAGTAAACCAACCTTGTATCATTGGGAAGCTGTCAAAAGAATTCTAAGATATCTGAAGGGTACATTAGATTTTTGTTTAATGTTGGAACCCAATAATGACAGAGAACCAAAAATTACTTGTTATGCTGATGCAGATTGGGCTGGTGATACATCATGCAGAAAGAGTACTTCTGGTTATGTTTTTCTATTGAATGATTGTCCAGTTTACTGGTATACTGGTAAACAAGAACTAGTAGCCACTTCTACTACAGAAGCGGAATATGTTTGTTTGTCCAAGGCTGCAAATAACCTTGTATGGTTCAATGATCTGATCACTGATGTTTGGAAGAAACCCACCTTACCATTTATTATGCATGAAGACAATAAAGCGGCCATTGAAATATCCAGATCCGATGCAATTGGACAAAGGTCCAGGCATATTGATATAAAGTTTAAGCATGTGAGACAACTGTCTCAAGACGGATTCATTAAAGCAATACATTGCGATACTTCTGAACAATTAGCTGACATATTAACAAAACCCTTACCTTCTAAACAACACAAATATTTAACTTCTAAATTATATGTATTATATTGTCCTGAATCAGAATGTAATTGGTGTTGTGTAACGAACCGGCATTTAGAGGGGGATTTGTCAGATGTAAATGCCTTATTCTCCAATGTGTAAATAATGTATATATGGAACATCAGAGGTTAACTTATTCTTTGGACTTTAATGTATTCATAACTTACCACTCCCATTCCTAGCTCCACCCCTTGTATATATAAGGAGCCACCCTCACCATTCTCGTCGCTTCTACCTTGAATATTCAGTGAATATAGAATGCCTATCATAATTAAAAAGAAATATATTTAAAGCTCTAACTCCTATTATCTTTATTGAGTCTGATCCTGAAAATATTGCAACAGAGAGAGAGAGAGAGAGACAGTGAGAGACAGAGACACAGAGAGAGACAGACAGACAGAGAGACAGAGAGACAGACAGACACACACACACACACAAACACATACAGAGAGACTGAGACTGAGACTGAGACTGAGACAGAGACAGGCAGAGAGACAGAGAGATAGAGAGAAACAGAGAGACAGAGAGAGACAGAGAGACAGAGACAGAGAGACAGAGAGACAGAGAGAGACAGAGACATAGAGGGAGACAGAGAGACAGACAGACAGACAGACACACACACACACACACAGATTTGTATACTGACACATGCATTTAAAATTATGTCACCAGTTACATTCCTTTAATAAAAACTTAGAAATTAAAATAAAAGCCAAAGAGAGTGAAAGATGAAACAAGAAATGATGAGATATAAGGAACAGTCAAACAAGAAATCTGGAAACAATAAAAGAGAATTTCAGTGCTTGTCTTCAATCAAGATCACGATTAAGATTAAAAAAAAAATACAAAAATGGGAGTGGGGGGAATTTTGAGTCTAGAGAATAGGTGATGGTTTTCTCATCCACATATGAACAAAACCCAACTTTCTTTAGGCTTCTTTCCAAGCCCTGAACAATCCATCTGGAAGGTCCCAGAAGTTTCCCTGAGCCACTGAGATGCCAAAGAGAGTGAGACTCAAGATGAGGCTTGCAAAAGTATCAGATTTTTATTTTTGGCCAAAGCTGGGTGAAAACTATTTCCAAAACATACAGGCAAAATGCATGAAAGGAATAGTTACACCTCTGTGAGAGTGGCTCAGAGTATTATACACATTTTACCCCGTTAGAGACAAAGTTTACCCAATCGGAGACAAAGGATTGTTACCAACGTGGGTTTTTATCTTCAAAGGTTTCTTTGTTCAGGCTCCTGTCTCTGTCCACCTTATCTATAGAGCATCCCTATAGCCCTATTTCGGAGGGGGTTTTCTCTCCCTGTCCAAGTTGTTTATTCAGCAGAATGCTTTCAGGTAACTTCCTGTTGTGGTACTATCAATAAGGCAGGAAACTCCCTACTCTGGTTCCTTTATCCATGGGGCCTGATATTCCTGGGTAACGATTTCTTCTATATTTTCAAGGATGTGCCTAGCTTTGAAGCCAAGAACAGAAGTGAGACACAGAAGTGCAATAATAAACTTTGCACTAATGCCAACCAGTGTCAAGGCTACAATTTACCAAGCTAGAATTAATTCCTAACAACTTATTTCTGACAGTATACAATAATATAAGCGGAAGCCAATAACAAAGCTTAATTCCTAATAAATGATTTCTTGCAGTATATCCTATCAGAAGCAAACAGAAAATATTGGTTTGATCAGTAACAAATATAGAATAGCATAAGCAATTCATGACAGAAGCAAATAGCCAATATTAGTTTGATCACTATGTTCCTTCACATCAACTGAAAAATCCTTAAAAAAACACATTTCACAAAATTTAACTTCTGATATGCTCATGTTCATGTCCAAGCTGTCCCACTGAGAAGAGCATTGAATTCTTTTCCATGGTGGTGCAGTGGTTAGAGTGCAGTTATCTATAAGGCAGGAAACTCCCTACTCTGGTTCCTTTAGCCATGGGGCCTGATATTCCTGGATAATGATTTCTTCTATATTTTCAAGGATGTGCCTAGCTTTGAAGCCAAGAACAGAAGCGAGACACAGACGCGCAATAACAAACTTCGCACTAATGCCAACCAGTATCAAGGCTACAATTTACCAAGCTAGAATTAATTCCTAACAACTAATTTCTGACAGTATACAATAATATAAGCGGAAGCCAATAACAAAGCTTAATTCCTAATAAATGATTTCTTGCAGTATATCCTATCAGAAGCAAACAGAAAATATTGGTTTGATCAGTAACAAATATAGAATAGCATAAGCAATTCATGACAGAAGCAAATAGCCAATATTAGTTTGATCACTATGTTCCTTCACATCAACTGAAAAATCCTTAAAAAACACATTTCACAAAATTTAACTTCTGATATATTCATGTTCATGTCCAAGCTATCCCACTGAGAACAGCATAGAAAAATTATTTTCCGCGGTGGTGCAGTGGTTAGAGTGCACTACTGCAGACTACTTCTGCTGATCACAGGCTGCCAGCAGTTTGGCAGATCGAATCTCACCAGGCTCATGGTTGACTCAGCCTTCCATCCTTCTGAGGTGGGTAAAATGATTGCCCCAGATTGTTAGGGGCAATAGATTGACTCTGTAAACTGCTTAGAGAGGGCTGGAAAGCACTGTGAAGTGGTATATAAGTCTAAGTGTTATTGCTATTTTTCTTTCACTGTGTTCTTCTGTAATGTATTGTTGAGATCCCATTGCAGATTAGAGCAGTAGATGATAGTTCTCCAATCTATGTGGATTTTAATAAAATCCAAGTCTGTTTAGATTTGTTTGAGATCAGCCAAGGTTGGCGAAATCCTTCCAACGATTTCTCCTCACAAAATACGTTTGTGCCTCTGCAAACAGTCTCGGAAAGCATCCTTGACTTTCTCATTCCTCAAAGTGTAAATAAAAGGGTTCAGTAACGGGGTAACCACAGCAGTAAGAACTGCCACAGCTTTCTGGGCATTCCGAGACCGACCCTTGCTGGGCAAAGAATACATGAAGATGGCACTGCCGTAGAGGATGGAAGCGACCGTGAAATGAGAGGCACAGGTTGAAAAAGTCTTCTTACGACTGCCACTGGTCTGCATCCTCAAGACAGTCACAATTATGTAGAGGTAAGAGACAATAGTTACACACAAAGAGCTGAGTAACACCAGACCAGAGAGGCTAGATGCCAGAGTCAGGAGACTATCTACATCATCGCAAGAAAGCTTGATCAGTGGAGCATAGTCACAGAAGAAATGATCAATAACATTAGAGCTGCAGAAGGACAGTTTGGTCAGGAAAAAAAGTGGCCCAAAAGTACTCACAAAAGAAGCAATCCAGCAGCCCAACATGAGAGTCATACAGACCTGTGCATTCATGATGATTGTGTAGCGCAGCGGATGGCAGATAGCGATGTAGCGGTCAAAGGCCATCACGGCAATCAGGATGATCTCACAGGTACTAAAGAAGAAATAGGAATAGCATTGAATGATGCAGGCCAAGTAAGAGATCGATTTGTGTGAGGAAAGCAGGTTCATCAGCATCTTGGGAATGATACCAAGGAGAAAGAAGATCTCCAAACAAGAGAGTTTGCAGAGGAAGACGTACATGGGGGTTTGGAGGCGCTGGTCCATGCCTACCAGGATGATGATGGTAAGGTTTCCAGCAAGAGTAAAGAAAAAGACAACTAGAAAGACTGAGAAGAGAAGGAGTTCTGTGGCCCTAGAAAGCTGGAAGCCAATTAGGATGAACTCGGTCACTTGTGTCGTGATGTTCTGATTCCTCGATCTCATCGTGAATGTGCTGATGGAGAAAGATCAAGCAGAGAAACAACACACTGCAGATCAGGGGGTTGTTTTCATGAGCATTGCAAGTGACCCTTTTCCAATGAAGGACCTTGTTAGCATCACTTTCAGTCTGGCGTTCTACTAGTTATATCTACAACAAGCAATGGAAGGTAAAGGCTGATCCAAATCCCTGGGGCTTCCTGTTGTTAGCTCCGTGAAATGCATTAACAATTGCACAATACATGATTTATCTGCTAAGGCTACAAAACAAAATAACATTTAAAATTTTAAGTTGGGATGCTTCTTTGGAGACACCTCAGGGCCTTAATAAGTTTCTCAGGGATTAAAATGTATTAATAAATGTATTAATTTGGCGGCATGAAACTTTAATGATATTAACACAAGAGGTAATTTTCCTGCTTTGCAGTGGATATTTTCCACCTTCAGAGAAAGCTGGAGGTGTTGCTATCTCAGCCAGAAAGATTACCATCTGCCTGCTAAGCTTTGAGACACCACACTTTCACCCTCCTCCAACTCTAAAGCTAACTAAAGGCCAACAAATATCTTTAAAAAGAAGCAAAAAAAAAAAAAAGCACCTGCTTTTTAGAGTCATTAACTCCTTCCCACAGCCTGAGTCCTTCACTGCTGATAGAATTCAAGCCTATCTGAATAATTGAATGGCATAATCTGAGTTTTAGAGGGAGGGAATGTGAGAGGAGGGGAGGGGAGAGGAGAGGAGAGGAGAGGGGAAGAAGGGGAAGGGGAAGAAAGAAAGGAATGAGATAGGAGGGGAGGGAGGGAGGGAGGGAGGGAGGGAAGGAAGGAAGGAAGGAAGGAAGGAAGGAAGGAAGGAAGGAAGGAAGGAAGGAAGGAAGGGAGTGAACAAGGCAGAGAAGGAAGGAAGGTGAGGGAGGGAGGGAGGAAGGAAGAAAAGAGGAGCGGAATGGAAGAAAGGAAGGAAGGAAGGAGAGAGGAGGGGAGTGGATGGAAGGAAGGAAGGAAAGAAGAAGAGAGAAGGGAAGAGGAAAAGAGGGTGGGAGAAACGAAGGAAGGAAGGAAGAATGTGAGTGAAGAAGGCAGAGGGGGAAGGAAGGAGAGGGAGGGAGGTTGGAAGGAAGGAATAAAAGAGGAGCGGAAGGGAAGGAAGGAAGGAAAGAAAGAGAGAAGGAGAGAGGAGGGGTGAGGAAGGGAGGGTGGATGGGTGGGAGGAAAGAAGGAAGGAAGGAAGAATGTGAGTGAAGAAGGCAGAGAAGGAAGGAAGGAGAGGTAGGGAGGAAGAAAGGAAGAAAAGAGGAGCAGAAGGGAAGGAAGGAAGGAGAGAGGAGGGGAGTGGAAGGAAGGAAGGAAGGAAAGAAGGAAAGAAGGAGAGAGGAGGGAAGAGGGAGGGAGGGAGGGAGGGAGGGAGGAAGGAAGGAAGGAAGGAAGGAAGGAAGGAAGGAGGGAGGGAGGAGGGGAGTGGAAGGAAGGAAGGAAAGTAGGAGAGGAAGGGAGGGAGGAAGGGAGGAAGGAAGGAAAGAAGGAAGGAAGGAGAGAGGAGGGGAGTGGAAATAAGGAAGGAAAGTAGAGAGGAGGGAGGAAGGAAGGAGGAAGGAAGGAAGGAAGGAAGGAAGGAAGGAAGGAAGGAAGGAAGGAAGGAAGGAAGGAAGGAAGGAGATATATTTTCATTTCAACTTTTTCTTAACCTAGAGGCAAAGTGAATGATTTATAAAAATTCACCTTATAAAAAAGTGAAATGCCTGTATTTTACAGAACTCTGTCTCTAAAGAAGAGATCCTTGTCCTCAACTGAATCGTTCCTTAACAAATTGGATTTTGTTCAGTTTCTGGATTTTTTTTTTCCCCCTTCAAACGTTGGTTTGTCCTGTCATGGTTTTTATTTTGTTTTTTGGGTAATACTTCTATGTATCCTCAATTCTGTATCATCAGTTCTTCTCTCAACAGTGAGACACCTTGACATATGGGGAGATTCTGGCAGCCTTGTAGACACCTATAGTCCATACAATAAGAAAGAGCCACGTTGAAAACATGGCTCTTTTGTCAACTTAACTGATCTGTTATGGGTGTACATTGTTATAATTTTAATTTTTTTAAAAAAAATTTGATTTATATGCCGCCCTTCTCCGGAGACTCAGGGCGGCTTACAATGCGTTAAGCAATAGCTTTCGTGCTTGTTTTAATTGGGTTGTTGATTTTAATTTTATTGTGATTTGTATTGGATATTGTTTTTGTAAGCCGCCCTGAGTCCCTCGGGAGAATGGCGGCATATAAATCGCAATAAAAAATAAATGAATGAATAAATAAATAATGTTTCTGACATCTTAGATTTCAGTGATGAAATGGTATAGGGCAGGGATGGCTAACCTTTTTGCCATCGTGTGCCAAAAGTGGGGGGAGCGCGGTCGGGTCACACGCACGTGTGCCCACATCCATAATTCTATGAGCCCCGCCCCCCGTGCGCCCCCCACTTTTGGCACGTGATGGCCTGGTGGGCCCGGTAGGCTCGTTTTTTGCTCTCCCCAGGCTCTAGAGCCTTTCTAGGAGCCTGGGGAGGGCAAAAATGGCCTTTCCCACCCCACCCCCAGAGGCCCTCCGGAGGCCGGAAACAGTGTGTTTCCTGACTTCTGGTGGGCCCAGAAGGCCAGAAAATCAGCTGGTTGGCGCACACATGCGTGCCGGAGCTGAGCTCGCGTGCCCACCGATATGGTTCCGCATGCCACCTGTGGCACCCGTGCCATAGGTTCGCCATCACGGGTATAGGGTTTTTCTGCTTGAGCAGAGGGTTGGACTAGAAGACCTCTAAAGTCTCTTCCAACTTTGTTATTCTGTTACATACAAAGACACACAGGCACACTTGTTATTTTTCCAAAACAATCAGAATAGAGAATAGAGTAGCTATGGAGCTCTTGCCTCACAATCAGGAGGTCGTGAGTTCGATCCTAGGTAGAGGCAGATCTAGAGTCTCCTGCTTGGGCGGGGGCTTGGATTAGATGAGCTGCAAAGTGTCCCGACACTCCCATGTTACACCCCTCCTGCGTGGCCTGCATTGGCTACCGGTTGCCCTTCGGGTGAGGTTCAAGGTGCTGGTTATCACCTATAAAGCCCTTCATGGCTTAGATCCAGGATATTTGTCGGACCCCCTGCAGCCAGCAACAATCTCCAATTGCCCGGTGCGTTCCCACCTCCTCAGGGTGCCGTCGGCCAGACAATGTCGGCTGGCGACCCCCAGGGGGAGAGCTTTCTCTGTGGGTGCACCCACCCTTTGGAACCAACTCCCTTTGGAGCTCCGGATGGCCCCTGACCTTCGCTCGTTCCGCCATGATATGAAGACCTAGTTGTTTCGTAGCCTGGACTGATGGGGGGGGGTTCTTAATAGTTTTTAAATTGATTTTAAATTGTTAATTCGGACTTTTTAATTTTATATTGTATCAATGTTATTGTGTATTTTATTGTTGTAAGCTGCCCTGAGTCCATTGGAGATAGGGCGGCATATAAATCACATTAAACTAAACTAAACTAAAGTCCCTTCCAACTCTGTTAATTTGTCCAGCCTTTTCTTAAAAACCTCCAGTGATGGAGGCACCTACAACGTATGAAGGCAAGCGGTTCCACTCTTTAATTGTCCTCACTGGTAGCAAGTTTCTCCTTAATTTCAGGTTGCTTCTCTCCTTGATTAGTTTCCATTCATAGTTTCTTGCCTTGTCTTCTGATGCTTTGGAAAATAAGTTGCCCCCCTCTTCTATGTGGAAGCCCCTCAAAAACTGGGATACTGCGATCATGCCCCACCTAGTCCTTCTTTTCTCTAGACTGGTCATTCCCAATTTTTGGCAACCGTTATCCATATGTTTTTGTCTCCAGGACCTTTATCAACTTACTTGCTCTTCTTTGCACTTTTTCCAAAGTCTCAACATCATTTTTGTAAGGTGGGGCCCAAAACTGGATGCAGTATTCCAGGTGTGGTCTTACTAAAGCTTTATAAGGTGATACTAATATTTCACTTGATTTTGATTCTATGCCTCTGTTTATTCAACCAAGGGTTGCATTAGCATTTTTGGCTGCAGCCACGCACTGCTGGCTCAATACAGTAAGAATAATAAATCAACTATTCTATAGCATATCAACTATTTATAAAAATGAAATGTACAGGTTGTATTTACAAAGGAATCCATCTTTAAAGAAACAATAGTCAAAATTTTCACCAATGATAGTCTATTGCCCTTTATTGGACACAATTTTTTTTTTTTATGCAGAAAATCACTTTGAACGTATCACTATGGAGTCTATTGGAGTCTAATATTTTATAAGGTTCGCCTGATTCGCCAATTGCGTCCCTTTCTGGATCGGGACTTGTTAAATACGGTCACTCATGCCCTCGTCACTTCCCGCCTGGACTACTGCAATGCTCTCTACATTGGGCACCCGGAGGCTCCAGCTGGTCCAGAATGCGGACGCACCGGTGGTTATGGGAGTGATGTGGCGCTCCTATGTGACCCCCTCCTGCGCGAGCTGCACTGGCTCCCGGTGGTCTTCCGGGTGCGCTTCAAGGTTTTGGTTACCACCTTTAGAGCGCCTAGGACCGGGGTATCTACGAGACCGCCTTCTGCCACCAGTAGCCTCTCACCGACTAGTACGCTCCCATAGAGAGGGGCTTCTTAGGGTGCCATCGATCAAACAGTGTTGACTGGCGGCCCCCAGGGGGAGAGCCTTCTCTGTGGGAGCACCTGCCATCTGGAACGAGCTCCCCCTGGAGATACGGAGGATCACAGATCTGCGCGCTTTCCGCTAACCTCTTTTTTAAACTGTTTTTAAAAATTTTAAATTTTAAATTTGTCTTATAAATTTTGGGTGTTTTAAGTTTTGTTTTCTGGGCCAAATTATTTAATTGTATTTTAATGGTTTTTTTAACATTTGTATTATATGTATTTTATCTTTTGGCTGTTCACTGCTCTGAGTCCTTTGGGAGTAGGGCAGTATACAAATTCAATAAATAATAAATAATAATAATAATAA